CTGGTAAAATATTATATCAAGAAAGTAAACCTCTAAATCCTTTCTTTTTAGGAGATCAGTCTGAGTTAATGTAGCTTGACATAATTATACCCCAAAACAAACAGAAAGATATCAACACTTTTCAATATTTTTCAATCCTTTTAGAATGAAGGGGTTGGTAGTACACCTTAAAAAACACATGTGAAACAGGATCTAAATGACATGAATTTTGCGTAAAATTTATTATTTACAACATTCTTAACATAATCATATCATGGATACGCTAAAAACTTATGCTAAAACCTTATGCTAAAACACCTGTAAAAATGTTTCGAAGGACAGCACTAATGAGCCTGGGCACAATTTGCCTGCAAATTGTTACTTACGCTTTGGTGGAAATCGGTTTAGATAAAAACATGATCAATTGCTATAATTATCACACCACGACTGCAAATTGGGGAATAATATTGCAACATGGTATTTGGTTGTCAAAACTCCGTCACACACCAACGTCAAATATATTAAAGGTAAAATTTATGTTTGATAGGTATACAGTACATTATTTTTGTTATTTCACCTTTTTATGACTCGTTTCTCTTCATTCAATCGTAAAATCATTCTTTCATTTGAGCATATTGATCAGGTTTGATGTCATCATAAAGTCGGTCTATATCTACTCATGTTTTCAAATATTTATGAGATGCCAAAATTGCGTGTGTTTTTTTCCTTTACACAAAAATACAGTAGATTCACTCCATAGTCGTCATCATCAATATCATAATTATCATTTATTATAATGATTGATATTATTCTGATAACAGATCATGATTTTTTCCTCCTTTCAGAAAAAAATGCCGAAAAACGGAAAGAAAACTCAACCTAATCTTCCGAATCACTATTGCCTCCCTTTCCCCTATTCAGCCGCTTAGTAAATGTGAAGTTCACGTAAAAAAAAAAGTCATGTGCTGTTGATGAAAATATTGTATTCACACAATGGAATTGTGTTAAACTTACACACAAATACACATAACAATTTACACCGTCCATTTACCAATATTGCAATATTCAATACCGCAGGTTATTATGAGCTATATACATCTCGAATGTTATTCATCATAGAGAATAAATAATTAAATATACAATTTAAGAAATTGATGCATAGGCACTTCATCATAGCATTATTCTTTTCGGTATTGTTTATCACTAGGTCTTCTTCAAATTGTACAGTACGAAAATCTTATGGACCTATATCAGTATTAAAGACGATCAGCACTACAGTGTGTACATCATTCATTGTAGATATATCTTGTTACTTAAACTGCATGTACTTGCATATTAATAGTGATGTGTTTTCAAAAGTGTTATTTGTCTTAATGTATTTCTAGACAAAGAAAGTCGCGCTGCAGAAGTTTTTATGGACCCCTACGATAAAGCCACATTCTTGCTAAATTGTGATGTTTCAGTCCGCAATTGGATATTAATAAACAAAATAAAGTACAATTCAAATATTCTAAATGAGTGCATCCAAAACAGTCAATGTCTACGCATCCTCCGTTGTACATCGAAGATTGTTTCTCACATAAAGAGAAAAGACGATTTGAAGGGAATGTAAAAAAGGAAGAGGAATGGAAAAATATATTCCCCGGCAATATTAACTAGGTTCAGTAAAGCTGTGGAAGTACATTTAAATAATCTCCAGAAAAATGTCTAGACAAGCAATCTTCTTGCTGCTGTATTTAATTAAAGTTTCTATATTTACTCAAGAAAATCGTATATTCTACGAAGATAAGATAAATATCTTACTCGAATCTTCCACTGAGTAATTACAGCTTTATTATTCATTGGAATAATTTCTTCATTATCTCTCGCTAATGAGGAAATTATTCCAATTATTCCAATCCTCTCTAACTTCAATTACTGAGTTATAATTGCACCGCTCTGGCAATATGGATGTAATAAGAGGTGACGTAGTCGAGTGGTTTAAGCACTTGACTTGAAATGCAAAAGTCGTGGATTCGATCCCCGACACGGCAGTAACAGGGCGCTTTCGCATTAATCTACATTTGCCAATCCATACCCAAGAGGAATGGGGAACAGGTAGGATGAAAAAAGCATTTACGTTATTAATTACCCTTTTCCCTCACTGTGACTAGAATACTCTCCAGGGAGTGGAGATGGTGCACACTGTGTGCGTGAATGAATCAAATGACCGGGGTAATAATAATACGTGAAGTGCTTAGAGACGGTTTATCGTATTAAGCGCTTTATAAATCCAGATTATAATCATTAATACTACTATCATTATTACTACATGTATTACTATTGCGACAAAATGAACTTAATATAGGCCTTATATGCGTCTAATAGTCAGTTGTGTTAGAAATTTACATAATTCTTAAATGTCAACAAATAGAACAGTTTCTAAATATTTTCGCACAATTCTGGAAGTTTCGCAACGCGAGGGATGCATTCCTAACCAAATGATCGAAAACAGAATTTCTGTACATAATTTATGCGTCAAAAATCTTTTGATAAAAGTTTAACAAAAATATAAATGTATGCGTTCAAAAAGAGTAAATCAACTATTTTATCAAAACTTGAAATAGAAAAATTAGCAATATAAGTATCAAAGAATGTAAAGTATTTTTTCTTTCTCTATATATACATAAACAAGGTGAATCACCAATCAATAAAACAATAAAAGACGGAAGTCGTTCCGTTAGCGTCCTCTTTAATTTCTGGAAACACGGATCATCTCAGTCCTTGAGCGCCAAAAAGGCAGTTTCTTCCGTATGTTTCCTTTATCGCTTGCGCGTATATAGGCCATATGACCGGCAGCCTATGAGACCGACCATGTTGGTCTAACAGGCCTTTTGAAAAATTATCAGAGGGCTCACGAGACCGAAAACCAACGATGCCGACAGCCTTTAGGGGGACGTTTCACAAAACTTGTCATCAGTGACAAATGACACTTTTTGTTATAAGCTACTGTAATCCATGCTTCTGATTGGTTATAAGCAGATATGTCACTGATATTTGTAATTTGTCATTGAACAAAGGCTTTGTGAAACACCCCCCTGGACCACAAATTTCAGGTCTCATTAGTCTCCTGAAGAAGTATTCTGAGGATTCAGGGGACCGGTAGCCGATGAGACCGACATGTTAGCCTCGTGATCCTTCTGACTGTAATTTTTCCCGGGTCTATGCCGTGAGCTGTCGGTCTCGCAGACTGTCGACCTCGTGGACTGTCGATCTGCTAGAATGCCCCGGTACCTTCCCGTCTAGATTGAAGTAAAACTAAGCAAGAGTTTCCATTTCTGAATTTAAAACCGATCTCAGGGTCAAATGAGGGCCTCTTGCTCAACCCTTTTCCATTCACAATTAAAAGGATAAAAACAGTGATCCCCATCCCCTAAAAAGTTTACAATTGGAAAAAATGTCCGCAAATAAATATTTCATAATATTTTCAGGATGCATATCAAACAACAAATATCAATTCTTATAAAGTTAATATTTACCACTCTTTCACATCAGTGGTTTTTGCTCACTCAAGCGTAACATTATATAAAATTGGTTGATCTCAATTCATAGCGAAAGCTCTTGCCTACCCACTTGCCCTCCGAATATTTTGACATAGGCCTTTATGTATCTATTTAAAGACACGTATTTTTTTCTTCCAACTGTTAACTTTTTTGGGGACACACTGTATTTACCCAGCACCAGCAACAGAATATCTTTCCTACCAATCAAAAAGTACTTGAATAAACTATAAGCCTAAACTTTAAACACCGCCAACCCGAGCCAAAACGAAGTACTTTAAAGTCGCTCGTGCGTGAGTTTACAGAGGGCAGCACAACGTTTTTACGCGCGGGAGCGTAATACCCGTTGGCTCCGTGTTATGTAGTGATCGCCATGTTGCCTACTTTACGAACGACTATATATCCATGCATGGACACCTTTAACTTATGATATATTCAGAAGTAGTTCATGATTCCGGATGAATGGTGATGACTCGTAGGTTCATTGGAACACATTTTCCATTAAGTATTGAACACTATCAACCAACCTGTTCCCCCCCCCCCCCCTCCCCCTCTTCAGAGATAATTTCACTTGTGTGTGACAATGTACCCTGTGGTGATTAAAAGAATACTGATAGCATAAATTTTATGAACATGTATCCATGTCTAAGGGGTTACAATTGTTAACAATGACGTTTATCCGCTCATGGGCAGATTGTATTTACTAACTACTGGTGCTTACTTTCGTAAAAGTGCCATTCTAAACCCTCCATCCATGCCACATCAAGTCAGGACCCCTGTAGCAATAGCCCTTTCTTTTGATAAAATATAACAGTTCACAAAATAAGATATTCCCCCCCCCCCCAAAGACCCTAGTTACCAACCATTGCATCCCCCTGTAACAAACTACAACATGTCAAAATTACGAATGCCGGAAAAGTACATCATTTGTTTCTATGTCGGGCGAGCCTCTTGGTATCTTTAGGGTCGTCACTGATAACCAATGTAGTATATAGAGACGGTGCATAAATTTGGAAAATGTTTTGGAACTGTAACTGTTTATTGGTGGAAATTCAGACAGGCATTACAGTATCAGACTCTCGGTAGAAAATAATCATACAAGGCAAGTTTCGTGGACTCCATTTACACATCGCAGTCGAGTGTATATAGAAGCCCACTATAAATCAATCAACTCCGCGTCGACAACCTGACTTCATCATCATCGGACTCAACCTCCTCGTCGTCTTCTTTGATGTCGGCCCACGCCGGCTTCAACGACGAGCGCTTCAACGACATCCGCTTCGGACTATCCCCGCTGAGGACGCTATCCCTGGCATTCTTGACCACGCGTATGGTGTCGATGTTTTGCGGTTCGTACGGCTTGTAGACGGCGACGCCACCGCTGTCGACTCCATCACCTTCGTCGTGAACGAGGTGGAACCTCCGCGTGGTCGGTGTCGGCTCCAGCTGGCGGATTATTCGCCACTGGCGCAAGAAGAGGAGGACGACGAAGACCCAGAAACAGAGCATCATTGCCATGGTAATGAGCCCCTTCATGAGACCGGGCTTTCCCTCGTAAGGCGGGGTCACAACTAGAAACATTCAAATCGAGAATAAAAATAATTTAATAGAGATTAATTCAACTGCAATACTGAACATAATTGTCTACAATCAGATTCTTTCTCAGAGTACGCAGTCATAACTAGGATGACTACCAACATTCAAAAATAAGGGGGGAACGGTTTATTTGATGAGAAAAGAAAGACCGAACTGCAGCAGTACTCGGTACCGTCCCCCTACCCAACTTATTTCATATTAAAAGAGTCTACTTTTACTAAACTTTCGAGATTATTTAACGAAGCACAGGATATAAAATGGCTAATAATACATTCATTTGAAACAAAGTCCTTGTAAACAATTATTGTAAATTGTTTAAAGCTTATCTGCTGCAGTTTACAGGAGGGATTAGACCGCACTGCAAGGTCACTGGACAGGTGGTTATCTCATCAACTCAGCTCTCAGTTAACATAAGAAAAAGAGGATCATGGGGGACCAATGGTCACCGATTAGGCATCGTTTGTTATATAGAGGGCGCAAGTAGCTACAAGTAGTGCAGTGGGCCTTTAAGCACTCCACAGAGGGTGGGCCCTTGTCTATGAAACTGAATCAAAATAACAGGGCGAAATCTGAGAAATATTAAGTAGATGAGTAATTCCAATGTACGAATTGCCTTTTTCTTTTGATTAAACACTTTGATGGAAATCATCTTCAGAATAGTAGCGGTTGAAACATTATAGTGATAGTCTGATAAGAGGAAATAAGATATTCTAAATCTGTGTTAATCATTCATCATATAATCTCTAAATCTAAGTACCAAACATGCACATAAAACAATGTCAAAAGAATGTTAGTGCGAACAACAATAAATGTACATATCAAATAAAAAAGGTTTTGGGGTAAAAGAGAAACATCGAATAAACTTTGGGAAGGGATGTGATCGTGTTTTTTTTTAACTCAAAAAGAGAGATACTATGAACTGCAGCATGCATAGAAGAAAATCTCTAAGTTTGCTTCGAGTACAAATTAATAAGCAGAAAAAAGGGAAAGAAGAAAGGCCGCCATGGAGATAGTAATGAAATTCAATATGCCAACTATATTCCATTGTAGAAAAAAAATCGAAGTAAAAAAAAAAGTGCATAACGACAAACTATATAATTATACATGTACATACAACATATACATCATGTGCGTTTATAGTGCAGCAGTTTGACTCTTTGTAAATATAAACTGAATTAGCGCCCCCTATACTGATCAGACAGCACAGGCGTGACAGTGTTAGTCATCGAGATTCAGAGCAAAGTCAATTTCACTGCCCATCATTGATGGCTGTATAATAATTACACCAACAGGGGAGTGCAAAAGGGATAAATTACCATTTTTATTCACAAAGCACAATAATCGTACGAAATTGAAGCAATTCGGGCAATAAAGAAGCCAATCTCGAGCAAAACTAACGATTGGCAAACACGATAGACATACAACAGCAATTTTGTTTACGATGCAAAAATGAAAAGTAGTTAGACCTGCACGGTATTTGGAAAACGATTGACACAGAAAAGCCTTTGCAATAGCACACCACAGTAACAAGCAAGCAATCTGCAACCAAAGGGTAGCATGAATACTGGTACTTTGTTAAGGAAAGCAATATTTTACAAAACAAATGCATTCTGTGAACTAGGTAACAAAGTACTTGAGATAACAAATAAGGTTATACAAATATCACTATGAATATGACTGACAAAGAAAGCGGACAAAATATACAGTTCCTCAGGTAGACAAAGGAACATCCCTTCACTGCTATATAATTATGTCAAAATGTGTAGAACAGGTGTCACAAGCATATTCACCTTTTTACATAATAGCAGTGAAGAGATGTTCCTTTATCTACCTGAGGAACTGTATATTTGTCCGCTGTCTTTGTTCGTCATGTTTATAGTGTATACACATTTCTATACAAATTAACATGATTTTTTTTTAATGACAAAGGCGCTATGTTTTATTCCCTGCATAGCCCCCGCCCCCACCTTCTCTCTCTCTCTCTCTCTCTCTCACTCTCTCTATCACTCTCTCTCTCTCTCTCTCTTTCTCTCTTTCTCTCTATCTTTCTCCCTCTCTCTCTCTCTCTCTCCCTTTCTCCAGCCTCCAATCAGCCTGTACCATTCATATTCTGGATGGGAAAAAAATGTTAAACATAAATTATATTGAAACAAAGTGAGATTCTGATATCTAAAACGCCATCATGAAAAAGTGACCTAAATATTATTATGCATTGTAACACAGAATATAATTCACAAAAAACTTTACAAACATGTGTCAGAAATGGGTAACCGAAAATAGCATAAACCACACTAACTATAGTTCTTGCTCACAAAAGCAGACACAAAACACCGAGACGAAGATAGGCAGCATGCAACAAACACCAATAAAGAAGAAAACCAAGCATCGAGGCAAGATACATAACAACGTAGAGTACCCACGTGTTGTCATATGACAGAATGCGGCTCGTGGTCAGGACTCAACCGGACCGTTGCCGTAGGGGACCCACCACCTCTACCACCGGCCGCTTCGTAAGACACATGGACAGGCACACCAATTACAACCGCGGCGGTCAAGTGCGGTTGAGACCGCGGTGGAGTTAAATTATGCGGTTGGTCTTGCGGTTGTTGATGTTGTTGTTGATGATGATGATGTTCATGTTCATGATGCAGTGTCTGCAGCTGCATACTAGGGTGGGGCGTTGTTAAAAGTTCTCCTGACCGCAACGGTTCACGTTCAGGTGCGGTCGGTAGCGGGGACGGCGGCGCTGAGGATTTTGACGATCCGAATCTAGTCCTTTTGAAGTTTGACGCACGAGCCCGAAAACTCTTCATGGTGGATGACCGCTGCCAACTCCTACCGAAGCCGCCGCCGCCGCTACCGCCTGCTTCTTCCTGTGACCTGTCCCTCGGCGGTTTTGCCTGTTGAGCCGCTGCGCGACGCTTCTTGTACATCCTATACGCTTCCAAGTGGCGATGAGTCGGCGATGAGTCTCGAGTCCTTATCGAGTCTTTGGTCACTCTCAAATTCATTTTCTTGTTCCACGTGCCAAAGAATCTTAGCATGGCCAATCCCCAAAGTGCGAAGATTAAAAACAGGATGACAAATTCCGTGACCCCCATACTACTGCGTTCAAACCCTGAAAATGAAAATGTTAGTTATTACGAAATTACTTAACGATGATGAGTCTATATTTTGGATGTTCAATTCATCAAACCGTTTCAATGCGACGGCTTCTGTTAAGAGTTAATAACCGTCACAATCGTTTGTGTTGAAAGGGTGGTTGTAATTTTCCCATTGTCCCTTTAAATCTTAACCGTTCGGTTTTTGACTAAATACCAAGCATAATCATCAAATATTGTGTACCTATAAACTAGGGGGTGTTTCACAAAGATCCTAAGTCGAACTTAACCCTAAGTTGGACTTAAAATTTATGAAGAGCCATTTGTAGCCTTAAAAATATTTATATTCAAAAGTGAAAATTCAAGTACACTGTCGCTCATATAGGTGGAATATTTTTGTTTTACCCCAATTTATGGAATTATTTTAAAAATAATTTAAAAATAATAGATCTAGATAAAATTATACATTCTCAGATTTTATTGAATGATAAGTTGCAAATGTGTGTTTTACGTGACTGCTAAAGCATGTGTATGCTTCTATGCTTATCAAAAAGGGGACCTACGCCCTTAAGTCATAAATGACAGTAATGAGGATTAATGCCCCCACAAAAGGGCCCTAATATAGCACATCGACATGGTTTTAATCATGGGGCCTCACAGTTACATGGCCATTGCTTTGTCACTGAACCATGACTGTACGCAGCGGGGGCTAGGGTAGGGGGCAGTTTCCATAAATTAAAAAACAAAACAGAAAATGCAATAATTTTTCAATAATTTATTGCATTTTACCCCGGTTCCCAACATAAAAATCCTCTCTGTGCCCATGCCTTGAGCCATAATGCATGGCCAACCAGAGGATTAGTTTATGTTGGGGACCGGGGTAAAATGCAATAAATTATTGCAAATTTATTGCATTTTCTTCTTTTTTTTAAATTTATGAAAACTGCCCCCTCTCCTAGCCCCCGATGCGTACAGTTATGGTTCAGTGACAAAGCAATGGCCTCGTAACTGTGAGGCCCCAGGATCAAAACCGTGTCGATGTGCTACATTAGTGCCCTTTTGTGGGGGCATTAATCCTCATTACTGTCATTTATGACTTAAGGGCGTAGGTCCCCTATTTGATAAGCATGGTAGCATACACATGCTTTAGCAGTTACGCAAAACACACATTTGCAACTTATTATTCAATAAAATCTGAGAATGTATACTTTTATCTAGATCTATTATTTTTAAATTATTTTTAAATAATTCCATAAATTGGGGTAAAACAAAAATATTCCACCTATATGAGCGACAGTGTATTTTAGAATTGTTATAAATTCGACATCAAGAACATGAAATCTCCTTGATAATAGAAAATAAGAATGATTTGAATCAACATTTTGTGCCTTTTAAAATAACTCTTACCAAATATTTTCAAAGATGCTAACGGCTTTCCATAATTGTTAAGTCCAACTTAGAGATAAGTTCGACTAAGGATCTTTGTGAAACATCGCCCCCCCCCCCCAGGTCTACTAATATTTGGGGGAAAGTTTATTGAAATTGTTATAAGGAATGTGTTAAACTAAGATAGATTCTGATGTAAAAGGATTGTACATAATCAAAGTATAGAACTTCATCGGAAAAGAAGATTAATTCCATACATTAAACAGAAGAAATATAATTATGGACAGATGTAGAGGAAAGACGGAAGATTGAGACGAAATGGGCGTGACAAAACTACAATACATGGTTTTAAGAGATAAATGTTATGAACATTAGGTGATAACATAATGAAATGAATTCTACTGTAACAATACTTATTAGTTGAAATAAAGCATCTTCAATTGAAGCAGAAAGCAAAGAACTTGATATATATCCACAAACCCCTCCGAAAATACCGAAACTTTTGCCATGCTATTTCAGCCATTGCCCTTTCGCCCTTTGTTTATAGCCCATAGCAGTTCCGCTCCTACTTTTTGTTTTCTTTTTCATTTTGCACTTTGGGCACCGACAATAGTTAGTTATTTCAATCATTTGGCTGCATCTCCAAAAAGAATCAGTGCCACTATTTCGATTTTCTCGTCTTAGAGTCGGAAAAACTAGAAAACTTGTTTTTTGTTTACATGTATATTTGAAAGCTTTGTGGTTATTTAATTTACGCCAAATGTTTTTCACCAAATGTCCTCCTTGTTTCGTTCTCTGCCCATTACAGAAACGGATTCATTCAGTATTAGATTCTTTACTTTGTTTTGGTGTTTCAAACTGCGTGAGGGCGCTGTCTATATAAGGAACATCGGTGCTGTTGAGAACTGCCTTGACGAATGCCCTGTAGGGCTCGTCCGGCTGCAAGTTCCTCAGGGTTTCTGACGTGAAGGCGGTATCCACCGTAATGACCGTCTTGGAGTTACTTCCTTCTTGCTGGTACGTGATGAAGTAGCTCATGACCTGGCCCGGCGACGGCTCGTAAGGTTGCCAGAACCACACCAGGAGTGCCTTTTTGGAATAAAGATGTTTCTGGGGTACGGTGAGAACGAGAGTGAGTGAGGTGGAGTTGTTGTTAGGCACGGTAGAGGCTGTAAGAGGAGAACAATGATGAACAACAGAAGCTATTACAATTTGCATTCTGTGACAAAACATTCACATTAAAAGAAATGTTGCGTTAAATCCCCACTGCACTACTTAAAGCTACTTGCGCCCTCTATTGAACAAACAATGCCTAAGAGGCGACCGTTGGTCCATCCCCCCCCCCCCCCCATGGTCCTCTTCTTCTTATGTGAATTGAGAGCTGACTTGATGAGATAACCACCAGTCAGTGACCATGCAGGGAGGTCTTATCCTTCCTGGCCAAACAGTATAATGCAGATAGGCATTAATGCAAATTTAAACAAATTAAAAAGCATTTCAATATGAGACAGTGTCCTACGATCTTCGAGTTATAATACCATGCAGAAAAAAAATGGGTTCTAGGTGATTATGTTTAAAAATAAAGTCTTACCACATACTAATTATTTTTTCGCATGAAGATTCAAGCACATTGTCTCTTCTTCCCTAACCCCCCCCCCCTCACTCTCTTTCTCTCTTTCTCTCTCTTTCTCTGTCTCTCTCCCTCTGTCTCTCTGTCTCTCTCTCTCTCCCCCTCTCTCTATCTCTCTCTCTCTCTCTCTGGCTCCCTCTGAACATATTGTAAATGTCAAACGGGACGTCTGAGGAAATAGAGGAAGGGGAAAGAGAGACATATATATATATATATATATATAAGGAAACGGAGAAGGAGACAACGATGGCGATAAGAACAAATACAAGAAATGAGCAAAAGAAGAACAAGAAAAGTGAAAATGGGGAAGAAGGGGAAGGAGCAGGAGAAGAAAAAAAATTAAAAAGAAGAACAAGAAAAGAAACACTCAGGAGAAGAAGGAGAAGAAGAAGGAGGTGGAGGAGTATAAAGGAGGAGAAGAAGAAGAGAAAAAAGAAGAATAATACGGTCCATCCAATTTTTCAAAGCAGTACAAATCCGGAGAGCATGATTTACTCCATTACCGTGATTACATTCTGCCACATGAAGACTAAAATGTCAAAGCGGTAGCAAAGATATCACCCCGCTTATTTCTAGGAATATCCATTAGTCTAACTATGCACCAGAATAGGGATGTTAACGTATCCATTCGCTAGTCATTTACATACTTTTCGCACTCAAGTCTCCCTAAAGCGAGAGGGGGAAACCGCAGAGGGGGTAAACGCCGTGACGCCATGCATGCTGTCCGCTATATTCAGTGTAACTGACAGCAGTGGAAGTGTTTGAAAGCCAACCGCGTTAGCGATTGGATTACGTTTGGATCGAAACATTTTATTTATTTTGAAAGGAAATATATGCCCTGCCATCAACTTGAGTAGGCAGACTACATTAACTGACGGTTTTTCGTTATAACAGCTCCCCCCCCCCCCCTCCCTCCTCCGCAATTCTTGTTAAGCTCTCTTTTGGTAATCACTTTCCGCTGTTCGTTGTTTTTCCTCTTTTTTTCTTAACAATCTTTATTCTTCTCTTCTTCATTTAGCTGTCTATTATTTCTTTTCCGTAACATCTTTATTCTCTCCATTCAATTGGGCCTAGTTTCTCTTTCACAGTATGGGCTACTATATTTTTGTGTTAAAATATCCTGTATTTTTATCTCAAGGGTCCATTTTCGAGATGGTAATATGGGAGGGCTTGGTATAGCTACTTGGATTTGTTCATCGAATCTTATGCATTATCGGCACAACAGTTTGAGTATTCTTAACGTGTTTTTCGATTTCATGCACATTTTAACTTGCATTTCAACTATAGAAGCGAGTTGTTTTTCATGGAAAACTCTTTTACGCCATCTACGACAAGTTTGTTGATTGCTTCCCATATCACTGCATGTAGGAATGAAGAGTATGACGACATAGGTATGGAATATAGATGTAGATAGACAGAGATAAATATATAAAGTACAATTATACGGTTACTTCAATAGTATAATCATGCAAAGAAATCACTATATTGCAATTAATATCAAGACTCCACTTAATTTAGTTGGCGGCTGAATTCGCGGTTTTCGGTTCTTATTATGAGAGCGGTCTAAAACAGGTGTGCCTATAGATAAAACATTCGAAATTGTCATCATTAAGACCGACGTGCGTTTAACAATAATAATTTCTCAAAAATCTTTATAGGATCTGAAATAATGATATTGTATTCAGTCTGCAATGCGAAAAATACATTTTACAATGTATATGAATTGACGTTGTCGTCATTCAAGGTATAATTCCAACGAATCACAAGTCTAGTTACTTTCAACTATTTTTCAAAACAATAATTGAATTGCTTCGTTCTATTGTTTTCCTACCTATAATGTTTATTTTTCACACAATATTTGCATGCTAATTTATATTTTCAGTTTTACCACAATAGAGGTCCGAGTTTTCCATTCAAGTATTACTTTTGTATCTTGTCAGATCCTTGGATGTAAAACAAATTTTGTATTCACATTTGATTCTTATTATACCGATTAATTATATTTCAATAAAATTGAGAAATAATACAAACAAAATTATAAATTTCAATCAGTCATTATTATCGTATCACCCTTTGTACGTTGATGTGCATCCACACAGTGAATTACAGAGACCGATGTTAACAGGTGCGGTTAAAGGGCCTATACAAGTCATGATGACCGATCGCCGTAGATCATTTATACACAATCAATCTAATATCGCTCATAGTCTTACAGACTCGCTTGCAGTCTCAAACAAAATGTCAGCCTTTTGCATGGGCCTCAAAAATTATTCACCTTTCACAGCTTACATAAATCTACTAATTGGAATATTAATGGACATTCATAAATGCCAGAGTAAAAATAGTACCAGCAATCTCGCTCGCAATCACTTTCTGATTATCATGAAATCCTTGAAACGTGTCATTAGCGTGCCGGAGACTATTCACAGCTCTGTCATTATTATGGTAATGATACATAGCCATTTCGCGAACGTGTTGTAAAAAAGAGACCGTATTGAATTTGACAGGACGCTATAGGCCTCAAACTATTGAGGTTGATTTTTATGCTGGTTATTTGTGTGTTTAGGGGTGAATGCAATTACGAATTGATTTGTAAATGAATTGTTCATATTCGGTATTGACTGCCTGAACATGACTAAATTGTTTTTCTTTTCTTCTCTTTTTATACAAAGTATCATTGGTTGACCGTTGAATATCTAGTAGCCATGCTGTCTCAAAGATTCCCCACCAAAGTGTATGAAAAAGGCATAAAACAAGAATAAAGTACAGTTTCTCAGCAAGACATGGGCATCGCCATTTTCTTGACTGCATGACGTACTATGCGGAGGCGTTTATCAACTAAATGTATTCAAAGTTATGGATGCTTCCTTCCCAGGTGTTCGTGCTGTTGAAGCATTTCAACCACCTGCTATAATCCTTTGTACTCCAATTGCCAGAACGCAAAATGCATATTAAGTTGGTGCTGTTCTGGGGTGAAGGTTTCGCATAAATGCAATAGATTTGTCAACCGCTATATGTTAGTCTTTTTAAATAAATGAGTTATAATTGTTGTTGTTACCCTATTATATATTTTTCATCAAAAGTATTTTTATCTTCTCAGCTATGATTTTCCCTCATTGAAAAGTAATGGTTTTGTTATTGAATTAAAAAGTCTTTCCAATTAAATGTTGGTGCATGATACATGTACAACTCCAACTGATACGTCACATTTTCAAGAAAATGGCTGCGCCTCTATCATGCTAAAAGTCATAACATCATGCCAAGAAATCATCAGTAATATATTTCATGTACACGTTCGAAAGTTGTACATCAAAAGGCAGGAATTTATCTCGTTTTGCGGAATATATACGCTTATTCTTTGGGGTTAGTTCCCCTTCAATATATTTGCAATCGTGATGAGGATTTATTGTTTTGACCGCGGGTTAGATGAAGAAACAAACAGAATATCTTTGAAGTCAGACCGCGTAGCAAGCTAGAAAACAATATGCCCTTGACCGCTGTATGAAGCATTGCTCCTATTTAAGGAATCTTCAGAAGAATAGATTCTGTATTCTAAAAAGATATAAACGTTTCCCATTGGACTTGCATCACTTCCACATGGAGAAGTGCGTTATCATTCACGCTATTATTTATTTATAGATAGAAAATATATTTTCACAAGACGACACAATCAGTACAATAAGCGTTTTGCATTGTCGTGAATCGATGTAACGGTATGTAAGTGCTTATAAAATGTGGAAGTTATTCCGTTCACCCATTGCCTTCTGTAATCGGCTTGTTCACGTATTGAACCTATGGGGAATATGAAAATTCATTATTCAATGGATTCAGTGAATGATTTCGATTGGAGTAAATTAAAACGACATAAAAACGCTGCCGAGAGCATGAAGGACATTCATTCTTTGCAGAATTGGCTTGAGTAAATGCCTGTCTAAGTCTCGGCAGCACAAAACCGTTAAAACACGACAAGGCAAAGCAAATTACAACTGCATTGTCAGAGTGAAATAGAGGCAGAAAAGGTGGGTGGGAAGGGAATGAAAGAGAGAGGGAGAGAGAGAGAGGGAGAGGGAGAGAGAGAGAGAGAGAGAGAGGGGGAGAGAGAGAGAGAGAGAGAGAGAGGGAGGGAGGAAACGCCATACTTGAGAGAGGCAGAGAGAAGTGTGAGCGCGGGAAAAGCGAACAAGAAGGATGCATCATTTATCACGGGAGACCTGACAAGGGAGAGTGTCTCTATATTGAAGAGAGGATTTTCACGATGTCATTCGCGGCTGTTAAAGTTCTAGCCACTCTGTGTACGACGCGCTTTTCTTCTTCTTCTACTTCTTTTCCCTTCGTCTTCTTTTCAATCTTTCATCTTCTTCTGCATCTTCTTCTTCATGTTTCATTCTTCTCTTTTTCATTCTTAATCCCTATTGTTCTTCTATTTATTGTACTACGTCGTTCACGTCACAACTAAAACATGAATAATTCAAAACGAAACAAATTTGCATAGATATTGTCCGCTTTACTAGAGACATATCACTCAATTCTCCAATAACTTTTTATGGAATTTAATGCAGATCTGATTTTTAACCATGGTACCCGAGTTCCACTCCATTATTTTTGGATACCAATCGTATGAAATTTGTATCACGTCAGTTTATTGATATGATTATTCAT